TGCGTCATCCACTTCCTCGTTCCTCCTTCCGACATCCTCGCCCTCTTCGCTTATTTGGGAAACGTCCTAAAACGTTGTATTGAGAATTCTAATCTTTTCAAGATTGCATTTAATGTCTTTTATGGACGTTTCACCGATTCCTGAAGAGAAACACGAAAATAATGCGGTAATACGTGTAAAAAAATATGGATATGCGAAAAGCTATATTTACTCCCCCCCCTCCCCTATGCCGCAAAATTTCCTTTCCCATTAACCTTCGTTCATTTTATGGTTGTAAGAACCGGCAAACAACAGATGGCAGTTAAACAATATACAACGGTCTTTCTTCGATGACAGAATACTCTTCAGAATAACGATGAATGTTTTGATGACAGTCGATTATACGTTCGACCTCGAATTCTTCCCCATCTTCTCCGGATATCTTACCGTCTAATTTACGCTTACAAACTTTAATCGTCAACGAGCCATCCCTTGAACCAGTGAGGATCATAGATGAAGTCAGATTTTGATCTCACTAAATGGTAAACGCAGGTCCATCAACATATATCCTGCAACGAACCAATGAGCGCTCTATAGCCCATATCTATGCAATCAAGGATAGCAAGGAACACACAGCACTCTGCATCACCCCCGCTGCTTGGACACAGAAGAGAGTATGAGTGTTCAAAGCAAAGAAATTGTCGTCGACTGCAATGTTGATCGATAAGCATTTCAGAACTTGGGACCAGTATTTTTAGCTAAACATTTCTCATCAAACTGTCCTGGGCATGAATGAAAAAAGATAACTTCTTATTAAAAGGTACGCGTTTACGGCGATGAACGATATCACAGTTGTCCGATAAGCTCCTCCTTAACTAGCCCTTCGGCTTCCCTTAAATTCTACAGAAAACCTGTTAATCTTAAGCAATCTCTGCTTCACTAGCATGGCGAAACTGAACGATTCCTTCCTTACAAACGTCTAAGAAAACAGTTTAACAAAAGAAAGTGATCTTTATACCATCTGAAAGCTAACTGGCATTAAAAATCCACTAATGCAATAGAAATTAATAATTATGCCAGAGATGCTTAGAAACTCCTGCCTAAAAATGCAATGTCTTCTTTGTCACAGGGAGCGGACAACGACCAAATTAAGGGATTGCAAGGTGAGTACGGATGGACTTGCTTTCCTTTAGCCGCCACCGTAATTGTGAAAGCCAGTAGTAAACGAAACAGTCGGACAAAGAGCCTCTGGAAGATTATTATAAAATCCAGACTGGCTGCCATAACAATCAAGTGGTTGGGAAGCGGCTGTCACTGTTCACTGAACGGCAAATGGGCTCTCATTCATGGAAGCCAACTGTAGCCTCTGATTCAAACGTAGA